CTTATTCATATATTATGTTTCTGCACCTGAAGATGCTGAAGGTCATGAAAGGTACATTTTTTTCTTTTCTATCACAACTGGAGTATAATATCCAAGACCGTCTGGTTTTCCTAGTGTATGCATTGCTCCTAGCACAGTGCCTGCAGCAAAGTAAATTTTCCATAAATACTTGTTCAATGGAAAAATGAAAAGAACAAATGTGAGCTTTACAATCTTCAGCACACACTGTGATATGAAGTATTGCTACCAAAAAAAAATGTGTTCAATCCTAGAATCCACAAAAGAATCTTACATGTTTGAAGAAGTCTGGTTCAGGCAAGTTTGTTGTCTAAGCAGAGGACAGCAGCCAAACCTTTCCAAATCATGCACATCTCCAATATCCCCACATTGTGCACAGGTTTCTGGACATATAACAATATTAATCAAAGCTAATACCCACTGAGTGATCATTACTGTGCCAGACACTATGCTGAATGTTTCCCAAGCAATACTTTGTCTTATTCCCCAATAACATTTAAGTGAGTTGCATTGTGCATGGCCCCATGTTACCAAGGAGAAATGACATTTAAAGACTGTGGGTAACTTCCCATCAGCCATACCAGGGATGGCAGAGCCAGTGCTCCAATGGTAGTTGTTGGAGGTTAAAAGAAATAGGGCATCTGGGAAGTAATGTGTAAAAATAATCCATAGAGGTAGAGAGAAAATGAGTTATACAGAGACAATATAATTCCACCTTTGTGTACTAAGAAAATCTCCTCTAGTGTTTTAATTCTTCTCAGCAAATGGCCTGGTTTATCATAGGAGCCCAGCATTTCAGTGCAACTCTTTCTGGGGAATAGAAAGAATTGAATAAATCTTCTCTGAAGAAATCCTAAGGCTAAAAGTCAAATTTATGTACGATGTTTAAAAAGAAAGCAAAAAAAGGAAACACACATGCAAACACAAAACAGAGTCTAGTTCTTTTTCTACTAGATGTGTTCTTGTCCGTGTAAATATGATTCTGGTATTTTATGCACTCAACTATCAATGAGAT